TTCGCAGGCTGTTCTCAATCGGTCGGATACCATTCTTTCCATCCACTGGTTGTCATTAAAACGGACAACCCATTCGACTTGTTTGATTTCACCTCCGTAGTGATAATTCGCATGCCACACCCGGTTTTATGTATGATTATGGATTAGATATATGTTTACAGCATAAAATTTGTGATGATTAACTTGTGGTCCAAATTGCTGCCTACTTATGTTCAAGACTTCTGAAATAACATTTCAGTGCTGCGAAAAAATTCGCATTCTAAACGCTCAGTTGTCTGATGCAGGCAAAGAACGCGCGAGTATCCTGAACGATTGCACCAGCTATAGCAAAAGACTGGCAGAAATGGAAGCAGCAAATAAAGAAGTATTTTGTTTTTGGCCTCCTGTAAATTTTTATTTTTATCTGATACCTAATGTGTGAAACTGTTAAACGAATGGATCCCCGGTAAGATTTCGAGAAACTCGGGTAGATTTCGAGAAACTCGGTAATGAATCCCCGGTAAGATTTCGAGAAACTTTCGTTATCAACATATTTTCCCATGCAACACCATACATTGAATTTAGGCATGTGATTTTTACGGATGAGTACGTAGACAAACGTAGACAGTCAGTAGGTGCAGTCTATAAAGTGGCATACTTCGTTTGTTTCTCAAAGACACTTTTGCGTGAATGGCCCAAAAACTGGCATGCTTAATTGGGATACTATAAACTTCATTTAAGAAGGTGCTAGAATCACGCAGGAACTGTAAAACTGCATTAAAATGTAAAAAAATCTGGACAGAAATTACCTAGTTTGACACTGAACAATAAAATAGAAGTAGCGAAGGGAAGTGGATAAGTGAAGCGGAAATCTGGAATACGTCCGTCTGTGTTGTATTAGAAACTCGGTGTTGCTGTTTGGGGAGGGGAGGAGGTGGGAGTGATGTTAAGTTTATATTGGTATGATTTGTTGTGCTTCCATGGTTTATCGGGACGGGAATTGCCTCAGTCGATCTTTGTTTTTATGCGTTTTTTGCAGCAATGCAATGCGAAAAACGCATATTGACGAGAGGTTGTCTG